CAATGCTGGTGATCCCTACCCCGACTCTGCTTTAGCTGTTCACACACAGCAGGGCCTGGCCCCTCAACCCCTTCTTCCCTCCTCCAGCTCCGACCCCGGCCTCCCATCCTTCCAGCTCCCTCACCCCCACATCATCAAGCTTCTAAGAGACTTCCAGGGCTCCACTTCCTCCCAGCCCACAGGCCTCCTGCCGGCCCACCCCTCTCCATCCTGGACCCCACGGATCGCCCTCTCAGCAGTGCCCTCAATCTGCACCACCCGCCCCCACCCAGTGGTCCACCTGGCAGAGTCCCAGCGCTGTGTCAAGTCTATTCCCCGCCTTCTCCATCCCACTCCACAGGCACCAGGCCTGCTGAGGGCAGCCACGCCACCAAGTATGCTGGGCGACTGTGAGCACAGGGCTCCTACCACAAGAGGGCATCACTTCCACCCCGAATCCCCGAGCCCGCTGTGAAGCACGTCCTTCCGCACGGCCGCACACTGACATCACCAGGAAAGCCTGAACAGGTTCTGATGCTGGGGTCATCTAGTGGAATTGTCCTGGGGGCTGGCCTGGGCGCCAGGACTGGTAAATCTCCCCTGATGATCCAAAAATGTACCCTATTCATACAGGGGAACACTCCGCTGTATAAAGAAACAAGCTTCCGCCCTGACTGGTGTGGCTTAGTGGTGTGGTCATCATCCCACCAAAGCAAAAGGTCACCAGTTTGATTCCCGGTCAGGACACATGCCCGGGTTGCAGGCTCGGTCCCCTGGTTGGGGGCGTGGGAGAGGCAACCAACTGATGTTTCTCTCGTGCACCGATTTTTCTCTCTATCCCTTCCCCTCCCTCTAAAAATAAATAAAGTCTTTAAAATAAAAAAGAAACTAACTTCTGATACACGCACATGGATAAACCTCAAAAACATTGTGCCAAGCACACACAAAAATACCTTATGTAAGTCTATTTACATGAAATTTTCAGAAAAGGCAAAACTATACAGCAGGGGTGTCAAACTCATTTTCACCGGGGGCCACATCAGCCTTGAGGTTGCCTTCAAAGGGCCGAATGTAATTTTAGGACTATGTGTATGTAACTACTCCTTAACAGCTAAGTGAGAGCTTGGCACAGCTGCTTGGGTAGAAACAAGGCACCAGGCCAGGTAAAACAAGGTGGAGGGCTGGGTTCGGCCCACGGGCCTTGTGTTTGCCACCTGTGCTAAGGAGCCAGCCAATGAGCCTGGGGCTGGGGGCGGGAGTGACTACAAAGGGGCAGGAGGGAGCCTGCGGAACTGCAGGAGTGTTCTAAGACTGGATCGCGATGATGGCTGCACTACCATCAGAAATTTTCTAAAAACAGCTGAACTGTACACTAACAATGGGATGAACTGCATCGTACATAAATTATCCCAATAAAGCTGTTAAAAGTGGGGGAAAAGGGGAAAAAAACAACTTAGGAAATTTAAATTTTGTTTGCATTTTAAAAATCCCCCGGGTGATTCTAATGAGCAGACAGAGTTGCAACCCTGTGGAGGAGGCCTGACGCCCACCAACCCCAAGGCCATGTCTGTGCCTCTCTGGCCCTCGAAAGCTCAGGGCCTTGGCACATCCCAGGCAGCGTTGCTGCTTTTGGAGAGAGTGGAGGTGCGTTCCTAGAGTCTGGCTCCTGACTGAGCGGCACAGAGGAAGTCCGCTTAATGCGCAGCAAACGTGCGTGAGTCTTTCGTTTAGGGTTCTCATCTCGCCCTCTCATCTGCCAGTGCCCGTGAAGTGGGAATACATCTCCCTACTTCACACAAGGGAAACTGGATCTCACTCAGGTGAAGTGCATTGCCTGGTGTCACATGGTCAGTGCTGGGCAAACCTGGGCTTACAGATCAGCCCGTCTGGTACCAAGTCCTTCTTCTCACTGCATTTATATCTTTGATCAAGAGAGGGCAGGGCAGAAGCAAGCTCAGCCTTTTCAGCGGCTGATGCTGGTCCTAGCAGCAGCTCTGGATCTCATACATTGGAGTCAACGAGGTGAAGTGAGCTATGTGGGTCACACGGCCACTGCTTGGCAAAGCTGGGCCGAGAGATCGGCACGTCTGATCCAGGACCCGTGCAGCCTCTGGCTCACCGTGCACGGCTGTAAATCTCAGCCAAGCTGGGCCGGCAGGAGCAGCGAGTCACACAGTGGGATGGCCCTCAGCTCTCCACCCCTTTCAGTCCCAAAGTGATGAGCTCCTTGGGATTAAGGTCCCCTCCCCCCGGCCCCACCCCCAGCCCCTCCAACTTCGGGATTGCTTTCATTTGACATTCCTTCCAGCGCACCAGTCCGGAACAGAAGTGCTTGATGCTGCTGATCGACCAGTTTCATAACAGGAATCCAGTTTCCTCTGCACTCACGAAAAGCTGTTAGCCCCTGGCGGGTTTCCAGGGTCTGCGCTCCAGCAACGCAGCCCAGACACTGGAAGAGGGATGGCAAAGCCCTTGGGCACAGACAGGAGTCAGCTGGGCGGAGAGATTTAAATCGAAAGGGGTTCCTGCCAGCAATACCACCAAGCAACATCCTGTCCTCAGAAAAGAGGTTTCCTGCTGAGATGCCCTGCAACTCAGCTGAGGGCCCTCACACAGCTGTGCCGGGGTGGGGACGGGCTACCCCGAGCTGCCCACACCGGACCCCAGTGGGGATGGTGTGATGGAGAAAACACTGACCAGCACTCCGGAGGGTCAGGCTTCCGGCCTCGGCTGGGTTCTTAACCAGTATGTGCGTGGGGGCGAGAAGCAACCACCCTCCGTGAGCCTCAGTTCCCTCCTCTGTCAAATGGGAACCACTGTCGCTCCCAACAGGGTGGCTGGCTGTGAGAGTGCTGGGGAATCCGTAAAGCACTCAACGAAGTCGGGCTGAAAATGTAACCTCTTTAGATCAGGTTTTTCAAATCCCCCAGGTCACCTTCAGTCCCCGGGTGGCTGCAGGAAGTTAATGGAAGGAAAGAAGGAGCAATGGGAAGTCTGAACTGGGAATCTGGACCCTAGGATTCAGTCCTGACTTTTCTGTGAGCAATCTTTCATCCGAGGTGCTTTGAAAACCTGAACTTTTTCCCATCTCCTCTCTGGGTCTCAGTTTCCCCTTCTATACAATGAGGGGGGTGGGGAAGGTATCTCTAAGAGCCCCTCAGGCTCTGACAGCCAAAGACCCTTACTGGAGAAAAGTAGGTCCCTCCAAACCACTGCAGAGTTGTGTGTTAATGGGACCACACTGCACCCTGCCCCCCATCAACTGGTCCCATACTCATTCCAGAGCATTTGTCACTGCCTTAGAGGGCAGTCTTCCAGCAAAAGCCACTTTAGTGTTTGGCAATGAGTCACTCCTACTGGAGGTCAAGTTTCCTTTGTGCCTCTCCCTAGGGGCTGAGAAACAGAGAGGGGGGACAACCAGGGCCAGTCTGGCCTGGGAAAGGCTTGCCTTGCTTGGATGACCGCAGACGGTGGGGGTTGGGCACTGCTGCTTCTCAACACCTCCCAAAACATCTCTCTCTGTACATGAACTTTACAGTTTACAAAGCTCTTTAAAATCCATGACTCATCTTATTTTGGCAAGAATCCTGCAGGGATAGGGGAGGAAATTGCAGCTCAGAGAAGAGAGGTGACTTCTCCAAGGGCAACGCATCGAATGGTCTCTGCTTCCCATGGGACAGACGGGCAGAGTCTCAGAAAGGTACGTGCAGGGCTGGTGACTCCCAGCCCTCTCTGCCCCCTCTTCCTTGCCACACACACACCCTACTGGCAGGGGCGGGTCCCTTCCAATCCTTCCCACTAAGGTTGGCTTGGACATCTGACTCACATACTTCCTCCCCACAGGGCTCCGTGTTTTTCTCTCAGGCAGCTAAGCATACCTGAAATGCCTTGCCTTGTTGGGAGGCTCTGAGTACCAAGAACACATGTGGAAGGAAAAAGAAAAGTAGGAACTACAAGGAGAATGGGAAGAAAGACAAGAGACTATTTTGCACTCAACTGGGTGCAAACTTCTTAAACGTTTGATAATATCTGTCCGGGTGTGGGGAAATGGGAATTTTCAAATGCATCGCTGGGACTAGAAACTGGAACAGCCTCTGTGGAAATCAGTTTGTCTCATTATTTTAAGTGATCCCGTAGTTCCACTTCTAGAAATGTACTACAAAGATGCACGCCTGGCATCTTTGGGATGGTGTTGGCCGTGATATGAAAAAGCTGTGAATATCCACAGGTGTCTGGCTCAATAAATGATTGTCCATCCATCTGATAAAACACCACAGTCCACCAGTAAGAATGAGGTCGATCAAGACTTCTAAGATCTGTTGTAAAGTGAAAAAGGCAAAGCCTCCAGTAGCAAGTCATGGGATTTAAACAAACACACCGAGAAGGTTCTGAGCAGATGAACACTGCCCTGAGAGCGGGGCTCACTTGGGAGAGAATGTGGGATTTAGGGCAATTAGCAACTCTTTTATTTTTTTACTGTGTATATTTAGGCATTGCTTTTTTCCCTTTTTCTTTTTTTGCAAGAAAGCAATAACAAATCACCACGTATAATGTATGTTTGTAAGCCATTAGAAGAAACAAACAAAAAGTCCACCCAACTGACGGTGACCCTGGAGTCTTTGTTCCGAGCCAGCTCCTCCCCAAAACTCCCCTCACAGGAGGAGTGCTGTTGGCAGCCCACCATGACTTTGGGGGATCAGTACGGTGTCATCAGTAACAAGGACAACAAACCTACAGGGATGGGGAGGGAATAAGCCACATGATTCAGCTGAAGGTGCAATGGGAGGAAGGGGTCACTCCTGAGCTATTTGGGATGGAAGGTTCCACCTGTCCCGTGCACGATCAAATTCCCTGGCCTCCAGCTCTGCCTTGTCAATGATAAAACCACTCTGGTACTGCTAATAAAAGCATGCTTAAAAGCCCAGTGACACTGTGCATCCCTGATCCAGCCATCGTGCCCTTGCCCAGAGATGACAGCAACGCACAGGTCGGCGAGAGCACGTCCCCGCAGCAAAGCATACCTCAGAGAACCTCTGCACGTCTTGGGTGAGTGTGCCCACTCGCTTCCACTGGTAGTGCTTCAGCAGCTTCAGGATGGCTGGGTTCACTGCATTGTCCGACGGGACCGTCCGGAAGAAGTAAGGGTATTTTTTCTTATCGGCCAGAACAGGCGTGGTCGCAGCAAAGGAAAGCTGAAAAACATAAAAGGGAGGAGGATGCTTTTACTGGTGGACCTCATCGCTCGGAGCCTGGACCTTCCGGAACAGCAGAGACGTTGAGTTCTAACTGGGGCACGAACACACGGGCAAAGACATTTTTAAGCCTTTCCACTGTAAAAGTAGTACATTATAATGGAAGAAAAGATTTTGAAAATACAAAGTAAGGAGAAAGTAGGAAAAAATGGGTCAATAATTTACCCCTCCCCAAAGAACCATTAACATTGTAGTCCGTCTCCTTCTGGTCCTTCATCCCGGCACAGTAATTTTTCAAAAAGATTCGTGAGGCCATCCCACGTATGTAGTTGAACTGTTTCCCCCACCTAACATTATCCTACAAGTATTCAGCCATCCTGTTCAAAACTCCTTGTACACATCTGCATAGCTGCATAATATTCCAGCACAGGAAAACACACCATAATTTACTGAATCATTTCTACTTCGAGGGCTTCTAGATCGTTTCTAATTTGCCATTATTGTCCCATTATTCTACAAGCATCCTTGCGCACAGCCTTTTCCCCCCTAAAATTCAAGCGATTTCAATACGACAAAATCTGTGGTACAAAACTTCCCAGAGAAAGGATATGCACTTTAAAGACTTGATACTTATTTCAAAAAAAAAGGATTGTATCAATTTACACTCTACTTGCCAGGTATGATTAGAGAGCCATTTCACCACATTCTTGTCAACAGAGGAAGTAAAACATGATTCTGATTTTACAGTGATTTATCACTGAAAAACTGGAACCATGTCACATTCAATGGTCATGCATAATGTTTCATCTTTTTCTATGTGGCCATTACTAGTAGTGCGTGCTATTTTAGGAACTGCTTTCTCGTGTCTTTGGTTTCTTTTCCGAGTGCTATTCCAACGCTTTTCTTATTAAGTTTAATGAAGACTTCCACGCATGCAGCATTCAAACTCAGGCTGTTCCAGTCGCTGTAAATACCCTGGTGTGTTTGCTTTCCCATTCTGTGTGTCTGTCCTTAAATTTACACGCAGTGGTCCAATCGCCCCCTTTATTATCACTTCTTTTTAAGTGCCAATAAGTTGCTAAATTGGATTTTAGTGATCTGTCCTACAGGGCCAAGCTTAAATGTGACTGCTTCCGAAACACTCCCTCTGATCTCTGCGCCCCTTTCCTCTCAGCCCGATGAGCCCAAGGTGCCGACCAAACTTTTTGATCTTTGCAGTGTGATGGTGGGAGAACCATATCCCGTAGTTCTGATTTGCATTTATCTCATTCTGAGTGAGGGTGAGGCTCTCTTCCCACGTTGGAGAGCAAGGTTCTTTCTGGAAACTGTTCACATTCTTTGACTGTTTCCCAATTTGAATTCTTTTCTTCCCAGTTGGTAGAAATGATCTTTTCTATTAGGGAAATTCGCCCTGTGTGATATGTTACTAGCCCCTCCTCTCCAGTTTGTATATTTTTTTTTTATGTTTCTTACAGTGTCTTTTGCCATCTGAAAGTTTTTTCTAAATGTGGTTGAACTGATACATTTTTACATTTTATGTGTTCAGGCTTGATGCCCTATTTCCCACTCTGAGATTATAAAAGAATACCTTCATGGTTTCTTCTGGTCTATCTGTCATCTCCCCCTCCCTCCCTCCCTCCCTCCCTTCTTTCTTTCATTTCATTTAAATCTTTGATCCAGGTGAAGCAAGCTCACCCTGGCTTTCTTTTCAAACAATTGCCTGTCCCAGCAGCAGCTCCAGATCTAATCATTTCTGAGAGTCCAGTTTTGGCAGCCAAGGAAATAACACTCTGGCTCCATCAGGGCCCAGATGAAGATGCTCTTGTCACCCAAGGAAGCACTCCTTCCCCACAAGACTCTGGCAGAGCAGGGCAGTGGAGTCTTGTCCCTTGTCCCAGTCTGGCTCACAGGGCAGACAGCCACCACCCAGGGCCCCGGGATCTCGCATGTCCACTCCACAGTCTAAACTGATCCCATCTGGTGGAGCTGAACACACAGTAGCTTGTCTGCTGTCACTTCAAACAAAAGAACGACTCCAGGAACCAGTTTTTAAGATCCTCACAGAGAAGGGACATCATCCCAAGATGGGCAAAAGTCAAGGACAGAATGGCTATTTAAAAAAAATCTGGATACAATAAGGACCCATCAGCAGAACCTACAGAGAGGAAAAGCTCAGCGGGACATGCCGGGGAACATTTGCATTCAGAGTTGTCTAGCAGCGAAGGGCTCCTGTGTCTGCAGGTCCGCTAACAGAGGCAACAGCATGGCCTGGAGAGAACACGGCTAGTGGGGTGTACTTCAAGGTGTCCACGAGCTCCCCAAAACCTGGATGAAAAAGCTTGTGTGGGTGTGTATGTGCATGCAGAGACACATTTTTCTGAAAAGAGGAGCGACAGCGTCCATGAGGTTCACCAGGAGGATCCTGCCACCCAAACATCAGCCTCGCCCTTGCCCGCAGGTGACATGGAGGTCCCGTCGTGAGCTCAGCGAAGAGATGCTCTCGGCAGCTCCCCAAAACCTAGTGTTCGCAATTCTCCTCCAGATATTAAAACAATACTTCAAGCCTCCGACGATTACGAGTGTGAGAAGGAGCTCCTAGAAAACTCAGGGAGCAACTGTCTCAGGGCCTGGGAGGGTGTATGTTCCATCCCATCCCTCCAAATGCTCATCTAATGCGATTTGGAAAATGCTGGTTTTCTGATATGATTTCTGAATCACACTCTGGGTGACACTTTACCATTATTGTCCCATTAGTTCCAGGTCCACAATTAATTGTTGCTTGAACAACCTCATATGTTTGCCCTGTAGGTAATTCCGTGGTTACCGTTCGGTGAATAAATGGCCCATTGTGTTTACAATGGGCTTGGAGTACAATATCTGCCCCGGGTCTAAATCACGTTGGGTGCAAATATTCACCGGCACTGACAGTTCCTGCGCCATTTGAGATAATGCACACTCTGATTAGATGCTTTGGCATCCCTGTTCCTCAGGCTTTCGCCCCCTGAAACTTCCTTCCACAGGCGAAGGCAGCAGGTCTCCAACTGGCACTGCTGAACTGCAGAACCGGAGGAACCTGCAAACTCACCTAGCTCTGGGTTCTTGACCCTGGCTGCTGGTTGGCATCATCTGGGGAGATTTTTAAACATATTAATGACTTGGTTCCACTCCAAACCAACTGAATTAGAACCTCTGGGCTCAGAGGCCGGGCGTCAGTATTATTTAAAAACTTCCCAGGTGACTGTGATGCCCGGGGAGGGTTGAGAGCCACTGAAACAGATCAACACCCTTTGTGGTTTTTTCTTTCAATTTTATTTTGTATTGGTTTCAGGTGTACGGCTCCGTGGTTCAACAACCATACACTTCACATAGTGGTCCCCTCAGTATTTCCAGTACCCCGCCTGGCACCATACAGTTATCATGATATTATTGACTATGTTCCCTGTGCTTTATTTACATTCCTATTGACTAGTTTGTAACTAATTTGTACTTCTTTTTTTTTAGATTTTATTTATTTATTTTTAGAGAGGGAAGGAAGGGAGGGAGAAAGAGAAAGAGAGAGAAACATCAGTGTGCGGTTGCTGGGGGCCGTGGCCTGCAACCCAGGCATGTGCCCTGACTGGGAATTGAACCTGCGATGCTTTGGTTTGCAGCCCATGCTCAATTCACTGAGCTATGCCAGCCAGGGCTTAATTTGTACTTCTTAATCACTTTACCCCTTTTACCCAACCCCCCAACACTGCTGACCTCTGGCGTTCACTAGTTTGCTCTCTGCATCTAAATCTTTCAATTTTATTTATTTTGTTCTTTCGATTCCACATATAAGAGAAATCATATGATATTTGTCTTTCTCTGGCTGATTTATTTCACTGAGAATAATAATAGGTCCATCCATGCTATCACAAATGGTAAGATTTCATTCATTTTTATGGCTGAGTAATATTCCATGGCATATGTGCACCACAGCATTTTTATCCGCTCGTCCACTGATGGGCACTTGGGCTGCTTCCATATCTTTGCTATTGTAAATATCGCTTCCATCAACACAGGGGTGCAGGCACTCTTTTGAATTAGTGTTTCAGGTTTCTTCGAATCTATGTCCAGAAGACATATTGGAATTGCTGAGTCATAAGGCAGATCCATCTGTAACTTTTTAAGACAACTCCATATATTTTCCACACTGGCTGCACCAGTCTGCATTCCCATCAACAGTGCACAAGGGTTCCCTTTTTTCCACATCCTTACCAGCACTTGTTTGTTGACTTCTTGATCTTAGCCATTTCAATGGGTCAACACTCTCAGTTTTGAATAAGCGGGCTGAGACCCAGAAATGGGGAGAAGCAGAGACACCCACAGTGGCCAACAAGAGGGAGAGACACAGGATTCTAACACCAGTGCTCTTTCTCTTCTTGATGGGGGCGCCCCTGCCTCTTACGCGTTTGCCAGTCTTCCCCCTCCCCTGCCCGGCACAGTCACTCAGCAACTGGAAACACAGGGCTTGTTGCACTGGGGCCCTGGGTTGAAAGACCCAACCTTTCTGGGCTCTCCTGCCTTCTTTCACAAAACCAAGTTCATTTCTAAGCATGCTGTGATTGAGGTTTTGAGTTACTCCCTAAGCCAAGGATTTATTTCAGAGAGTACTTTTAAATTTGTTTTATAGTTTTGTTCCTTCTGGTTTTACTGAATGGTTTTGAGAATTTAGCATGTACGGTGTCTGCTGTTAGACTTTACTGAGATTTTCTTTGTGACTTAATGTACAATCAATTTTTGTAAAAGTTCCATGGCGGCTGAGAAAGCAGATGGAGTCTCCGGTGGTAAACTGTAAAAGTATCAGACTACTTATGCATAAGCGGTATAATCAAACTAACCAATTATATTATCACATGCTTTGTATTTTTATTAACCTATCAAAGACTGAAAGGTTTATTAAGTTTTTTCCATTGTCTCTGACAATTTCATCATGTACCTATATTTCAACAGTGTTTGCTTTCCATCCTTTAATT